AAATCCCACCCGAGTAAATGATATATAGCCTTCCTTCAAATTCCCATCTGCCCCGTGACCGAAGAGCAGTCATGGCAATGTGGCGTAGTGGTTAACATATCCAGATTCTATGTTACATTGTGACGTTTCGAGTCCTGCTGGGGCTGTTGATGAGTCTGAGGTGAGGTCGAAACTAACGTCCAATCTGGATGAGAATAACTTTTTGCAAGGCAAGGCTATGTGAAATTCATATGATTGTGGGAAATTCAACCACCCGTCCTGTTACAGCCTAAACGTAATTGGATAAATAAACTTTATATATGCTACTTATAAGTTTGTTTCATCGACAATTTTACTATGACAACATGATAAATGGATTTTCATGTGTGTAACTGACACTTGTGACAGTTTGATGTAATGGCAGCATTGGGGAATGGTGGAAGGCACCTATTGGGCTCGGCTCCCTTTTTGGCGGTGCTGATTGGACCCAGACGATGTCGAAATTGTAATCCAGTTCCGGCTCTTGGGGGACCAAAACCAAGTGAAATTCAATTGCATCATGAGATCTCATTAATTTAAATATTGTGGGAGAATTCATCTATCACTCATGTTTCACTTCAAGCCGCCCTGGGTGGCCGTGGACCTTATTCATGACCTACTGATAGTCTTGAAAAACTTTTTTATCCCAATAATATAGTATATAATATAATATAATATAATATAATATAATATAATATAATATAATATAATATAATATAATATAATATAATATAATATGCAGCAAAATTTATACATTAGCCATACGATGGCTGAAACCCTGCCTTGAGATTAGATTTCTCTTAAGTCAAACAAGATCTCAACATGTAGGCTGATGACGAATTGAGACGGCTGAGAAGAGGCTCAATGTCTTTGTATTGTGACTCCACATTTTATTTCAATTCAACAGTTGACAAGACGAAAAACATCAAGTGTCTTCACCGAAAAACGAAGCAAGTTTTTTCTAGAGTGGTGAAAGTAGGTCTGTATGCAGAAATTCCGCCTTGAAGCTTCTGTGCTAAACTCGTGTCGTGGGTCATTTGGAAATCATCTTCAGAGCTCCAAACCGGTATGTATGATGGCAGCGTCAGCAGAACAGTGACAACTTGTTCTTCACTTCTACTTTCGTATTGTTTAACACTACGGATCGAAACTCTCTGACGATCTTGAGGCTTTGCTTTTGGATGAAATCTCTGACAAGATACACAAAAAGCCTGACTTATACTTGAGGCGGAGTTTGCCTAAAAAGGGGTCCAAAGACAAATTATTGTAGAATAATATGAGATGTATTCACCCAATTTCGTTTAAGGTGATGAAAGACTGGTAGAAGAAGAATTTTCCCACA